CACTTTTTTGACTGGTCTTAGGATTTTGATCAGGATATCACGCACGTTGTGAAAACCTCCTAGCAAGCCTAAGTATTTACAGAAGTGAAATACCAACCCAGTTTGTGCTGTGAATGTGATAAAGTCACCAGATGTTGAAGTCACTAAGGCCAAATCAGTACGTTTATTGCCAAAAGTATTCGCTCACCTGCCTTAACTCACATATGAGCTTAAGTGACGTCCCATTCGTGATCTGTAGGGCTCAGTATGGTGTTGGTCCACCCTTTACAGCTGCAACAGCTTCAACTCTTCTGAAGGCTGTCCACGAGGTTTAGGAGTGTGTTTATGGGGGGTTTTGACCATTCTTCTAGAAGCGCATTTGTGAGGTCACATCCTGATGTTGGACAGAAGATATGGCTCTCAGTCCCCGCTCTCATTCTTCCCAAATGTTCTATCGGGTTGAGGTCAGGACTCTGTGCAGACCAGTCAAGTTCATCCACAGCAGATTCTGCCATCCAGGTCTACATGGACCATGCCTTGTGCATTGGTGTCATTTGGATGGGGGAGCAAATACTTTTAACAATATAGTGTATGTTTGTTTTGTCTTACTGGAGTTTTGTTATCAGTGTCTTGACAGTAATTCACCAGTTAGCATTTGGATTTTAGCCATAAAGAAGGTAAAAAAGGTTTGTAAGCTAACTTGAACTAAAGAAAACCTGCTCTGAATTGAAACTGTGTAATTTTTCAGCACAAAGATGTTACGGTTTGGCGAGGAATGAACCCAAATCTGGACGGAGAAGATGAGTTGTTAATGAAAGATTTATTAAATAAACAAAAAGCTGACGTGGCAGCAAAAACAAGAAAACTCAGGCGACAACAAGGAACCAAAACAGGAGGTAAAAACCAAACAATGAACTAGTGATGAGTGGAGACAAGAGAAGACTATTTATATACACATGGGGAGGAAGAAGATAGACAACAGCTGAGGGGAAACTGATTAGACAATTACTCGCAGGTGCATGATGACTGAAGAGGGAATGACCGACAAACAGCTGAGGAGATGAAGGCATAATCACAATGAGGGAACACAAGAGGGAGGTAGAACACAGGACAACAAAACACATCCTCACAAAAGATAGCTGTTAACAAATCACAGACCCTTACAGACAGATCCTCTTTCCATTTGTCAATACCTAATTCCCCCACATTAAAGCATTCAAGTTGAAATAAACTGTTTTAGATCAAAAAAGAAGTTTGTTAGCTACACTTGTAGTTAGCCATTCCTTTAGTTGAAAAAAAAAAAACAGAATATTCTTTGGTCTTATTTGCCCCCAACTACTTTGCTTCCAGTTTTCTTCCAAAGACATTAAAGGAAACAAGTAAAAAATTAAATAATCCACATCGTTTATGGTAATCTTACTCGCCGTTGTCATTCTGCGCCAAACCATGCCCACATACACTCGAGCTGGAGGCACATTATTGTTCATCCACACACATTGGCTAAAGCCTGTGGCCTTGGGCTGAACAAAATGATCCCCAATGAGCAGCAAACCAAAGGGGCGGGACCAGACTTCTGTCAATCATTCTGTACAAAGAAAAAAATTTAACGAACAGGACTGAGAAAGGTTAGCCCTTTGGAAAGACTCACAAAATGCAATACAATATTTTTAATTTATGTTTATTAGGCATATTAACATTTTTATTGTAAACATCAGGAAGGCCTATCCCTACTGGCCCACTATGCTGACTGCAAGGATCTCTGCATGATACATTGTAGTATTACATACAGACTTTCCCAACCCAACAAATAAATAAATAAATAAATAAATAAATAAATAAATTAATAAATAAATAAATAAATAAAAACTACAATAACAGAAATTGTTGCCATCTTGGAAGTAACTAAAGACGACACATGACACTGACCAATATCTGCCAAGACAAGTTTCCAACCTGAAAGCATTATTTTCTGTCCTTAAAAAAATAAAACACTTTCCATTCAGTTTTCTGTTTTTGATCCAAGTTTTCATTGCTCACTGAATGTTAAAACCCACATAAAATAATAAAATAAAAGTCCTACACCTTCACTGTGACACTGATATGGATTGTATCAGAGAAAATAACAATTTATAAGTTTGTTCCACTTGGATGACATGGTAATAAAGTGGCTTCTCCATTCTACTGTAGAAGAGACAGGGGACACACTTGTCAAGGTAACATTTTCAATTTTTTTGCCTCTGTTATCTTGACAGATCCTCTCTTTTCCTCACAGATGGGGTCTAGGAGGGGGTGGACATTCACTTCAACACTTCCAATAAGACATGACAGTCAAAGCTCTTGATGAGAACTGCAGAAGCTTTATGATAGTAAAGTAGAAAAAAAATATACAAGGGTTTATTTTCCACTCACATCATGGTGACATTTATCGCCACCGCTGGGATGTCCCCGAGCTGAGCGTCGTCACAGTCCAGCTCCAAGTCTCGGCACTGGCAGAGCTCAGGAACGACACCCAGCACTGAGAGATGGAGGGGAGTTGGAAGAAAAAATAAAGTAAAAACAAACATCAGAGAGCATGTCAATGAAAAGGCCATCCTTCAGATTTATTACTAGAGTTGACAGCCTACTGAAAGAGAGGGTTTAACTCCAGATTAAAGCAGCGAAGGAAGAAGAAGTTTACAGTAAATGAGAGAAAAACCTCATTACTTTACAAAAACTCCTAATTAAACCACCGTTTATTTGATTAAAGTACACTCTGGAGAAAATGATTCAGTTAAAAAGATAAATTGAGTTAGGACTTCCTGGCTCAGCGAGAATAAATAACTTTGTAGCAAATCTGAGGAAACATCAAAATCTGCCACAAAACTGAATTAAGGAAACTTGTAGAAATAATAACATGTTTTAATCAAGTCACGTTTGAATGCGATTTTTGTTTAWTAAACGTTTCAAGCACCACCTGTTAAGACCAAGTGGTTAAAAAATTAATAAAWATAGCAAGATTTTTGACTTGAATTAGATTCCTACGTTTTTGTTAGTTTGTTTCCTGCCAAGTGGTGGGAAAAATAACCAATGTAATTCATTTGCCATCAAAAAATCCAATTTGTAGCTTGATTTCTGCTCAAGACAGATGAAGAATCAGCAAACATGGTGATGAAATGTTTCAACAATGGAGAGGCTGCTCAAGATGAAATGTAAATAAGCAAGACTCTAGCTTCTGTAGATACAGAGCATTGTTCTTTTTCTGTGTTTTATTTAGATGATTCGACAACAAAATGTTTTTATGGCTCACACTTTTGTTCAGGTCGTTTGAGTCTAATAATTTCAAAAAGTAATAATAATCAAAGTTTATTGGCTAAKAAATTTAGAACAGTCATCTAAGGACATAGCCTGGTGAAAACCAGCCCCTTGTTCTACGCATTGCTTCGTACAGAGGGTCTGGAACCTCAGCTGTTGAGAAATGATTTCTTGCTGGAATTTTGGACTCTGTTGAAGTTTAAAACGATTGGATCGGATTTTTTAACCCAATCGCTAGCGTTTAGTATGTACGTAGTGCGCCAGCTCGACCGTGGAGGAAGCTAAGCTAAGAAGCTAACCAGAAACTGCGTGTGCTGTAAACAACCATCCCCTACTGGGAGGAGAGAAGTACCGAGCTGAACGAGATGGGTGTACATGAGGCTTTGAGACAAATTCAATTTAATTTGGAAGCCTTATCAAAACAGACTGGCTTCATTCACMTCTCGAAACTACAGGAAGACTGAAACGGTGCTGAAAATCGTCATCGTCGTTCACAACACCTCCGTCTGTTCGCTGATTAGCCCAGTTAAAATTCTAAAGGAGAAATTGAACGGAACTGTGTAGGAAGGCAAAGGCCAGGCTACTAAGGCCAGAGCCTAAATGGAATCATTCCAGTTTGGAGAAAATCAACGTATCTGTTCAGAGCATGAATAACGGACCCCGGTATAGACTTTTCAACAAATGCTATGTCACATTTTTTTCTAATATATTGTAGTTTTGTGCTGTGGTGATTGATGCAGGTGGACAAATTATTAATTATGACTGAATAAAAATAAAGCTATAAGCCTACAGGGCGATCCTGAAAGAAGACCGTTTGAGGCTACGGAAGACTTAAGACAGGGTTCACAATAAAGCAGAACTAAAGAATTCTCCAGTCAAAATCCATACCTAAATCCAACTGGGAATTTGTGGCACGACTTAAAAACTACTGCTCAGATGGTCTCCATGCAAACTGCTGCGTTAAAAAGAAAAAAGGTAAACAATCTCAGATGTGCAAAGCTAATAAGATGTACCTCAAAAGACGTTTAGCTGATTTTTCYAAGAAAAGTGGTTCTAAAGAATTGACTTAATGAGGCTGAATACATTTTTCAAATTCTTTTTTTTGTAAACAAGTTTGAAAGAACGTGAATCCTATTGTTTCCACTTCACAATTATGTTATTTGTGTTGGTCCATCACATAAACTCTCAGTAAAATATTATGAGGTTTGTGATTGTTGTGTGACAAAACATGGAAAAGTAAAACTTTTCAAGGCACAGTGTGTTTGTCAATGATTAATGTGTGTTCTAGTCAGCGTTTTATTTATAGACACCCTGGTTAAAAGCTGACAAATGAGGGAAAACATTGCTATATTATACCGAATAATCAAATGGGGGATCAACATGCCAAATATGGCCACGTCAGTGATCAATCGACCTCTGTGGATTAATGTGATGTGAATGTGCTCTGAAAGGAAAACATCTACTATTTCTGCTCCATATCTTCTTTGCTGTACAGTTCGAACACATCAAAAAGACTAAGCATCACATCTCATAAAAGGCAGAACAACGAATGCTCAACAAATCAAAAGCGAAAGCATAGGAGCAGAGAGGTCAGTGAAATATGAAGCCGTTCTTCTACTAAAAAAKWAAAWAWAATAAATCTCTCAGATGAGGTCCATAACAGCACCTTAACCTAAAGACACGTTCACCTTCAGCTAAAAGAAAATTWAAAAAAAATCCTCAAATTTTGTACATATTTCTGTATTTTTGTGAATGTTTCCAAAATGCTTTGATCCCAGGGAGCGTGGTTTTCAGAGTAAGTGTTCGTTGGATTTGCAGGCCAGTTGCAGAGTACCTTCTTTCATGGCAGGAAACCTGCTTTGATGATGTCCTATGAACAAACTGTGTAAAGAATTAGAGGCGAGACCTGCCTATATTTGAATTGCAAATGCAAAGATTGTACTTATAAAATGCCTTCCAAGAAATCCATGCTCAAAATCCTCCTATATGTCAAACATATATGAAAGCCCGATGTGCGAGTCGAAGGTAAACATCTGCTCTCTGTTTGCGCTCCAAATAGAACTAAGGTTTAGTCMTTTTGTATTTTATTTTTACTTCAGCAGAGTAAAACCAGCAGTGGGTGTTTAACATACCTTATCATAATTTTTTTTTGCCTCGTCTCTTTTTCAACCATATGGGAAAATGTGGATGCTTATCAAATTTGAAACACAAGCAGTATCTGAGACTCAATGTATAAAATAAGGAGTACTAGGAGGAGTTTAATAGGCAGTGATTCTCATGTTCAAGGTTTGTGATTTCATTGAAAGCTAAAGCGATGCATTTTTCACTCTCCACACATGAAACCAGAGAGAGGTATAAGGCTGAGGTTCTTCTTCCATGAAGCAGCTCTGTTGTCCTCCATCCATATTTTCAGTTCCAGGCTGAGTCATTTCTACCT